TCTTCTTCCAGACCAGCTATCCTTCCATCTCGCCTGGACAGGGGAGGGTCCCGGGGTGGGACCTGGGGGTGGCAGCGAGGGGGTCTGCTTCTGACCTTCCTCTCCACGTCTCCCCAGAGTCTGGCAGTTTGTCTCTGCTGTTCTCTTCTCCGGCATTGCCATCATGGTGAGTCCCTGCCCCAGCCCTGGGACCTGGCACCCTCCCCTTCCCTGGGACCCCCTGCTGCCTTCCCCCCGCAGGGCCTTCGGGCTCTCTGGCCGCCTCCCTGACCTGTTCAGATGCTCATCCCCACCTGTGCCCTGCCCTGGAGCATCCGAGACCCCCTGGTCCACGGTCCAGACTCTGTCCTTGGAACCTGAGGTCTCTGCTGCCGTGGACGGGGCGGGGGCAGTCAGAGCCCTGACCCTGGACTGCTGCTGGGGGAGGGAAGGAAATGTCCAAGGGGAAGGCTCCACAGGGAGCCCCTCACCCCGAGCCTCCCGCCCACTGTCCGCAGGCCCTTGCCTTTCCAGACCAGCTCTATGATGCGGTCTTCGACGGAGCACAGGTGACCAGCAAGACCCCCATCCGCCTCTATGGCGGTGCCCTCCTCAGTGAGTATTGCTGGGCGGACGCTGGGAGGGTGATGGGCAACTAGGGGGCCCATGGAGGGCGAGGGAAGCCTGGGGAGCCTTTCTTGTCTTTGGGCTGGGGCTCCGCTTCCCAGAGCCCGCCCTTCAGCTGCCGAGTCTGTCTCTGCTGAGTGTGTGCTGCCCTCTTGCGGCCACTGATGGAACCTCGCCCGTGGTTGGGGCTGTTCTTAACTGGCATCTGAGACAGAGCACTTATTGAGCGCTTGCTGCATGCAGTGCTCCACCCGGGCGTTGGGATAGAGATGGAGGAAGCCCAGGTTCCGCCCTCCAGGGTCTCACAGCCTAGAAGAGGAGGCGAAATCAACACAGCATCTTAAAAACCCTCACCGCTTCTGTTTCTTCTCCAGCCTGAGTTACACGCAAGCAGCGCCTGTTAGCAAAGTGAACGACAGCATTTAAAACCCCACACCTGTAGTGTCCTTCCGCGTCGCCAAAACTTTCTATGGCTTCCTATTACCTGCAGGCTAAAGTCCCAGTCTGACGTTCAGGGTTATCTGTGGGGTGCAGTCCAGCCTCCCTTCCAAAACCTCCCTGCCTGTGAGTCAGGGCAGGGGATGCCTGGAGTCCTGGCGACTTTGCCGAAGGGAAGAGGAGCGGACCCCTTGCCCCTGCCTCAAGGACCGGGGTTGGGGGGGGGCATGGATCAGACCGTCCCCCGCCCAGTTCCTTCCTTGTCTCTGGCCCCAGGCATCTCCCTGATCATGTGGAATGCTCTGTACACGGCTGAGAAGGTCATCATCCGATGGACTTTGCTCACTGAAGCCTGCTATTTCTCGGTCCAGTTCCTGGGTGAGTCCTGAGCTGGACAGTTGAGGGCTGGGGGGATGGTGGCGGGTGGCTGATGGGGTGCCGACAGCTTAATCCCTGACCTCCCCCACCTCTTGCCACTTGATTTCTGGGAAGTGATGAAAACCCATGTACGGGGGAGGGACTCGTGTGGCCGTGTTCACCTGTGTGTGCATACACCGGTGCCCACACAGCCCACGTGTGCATGTTCCTGAGTGCACGTCCATGCATCCACCGCCCACTGCTCCCTCGTGTCCCCAGGACAGGGAGGGGGCAACACACGCCCAGCTGTGCGCACATGCTCGCCCCTGTCCCTGCCACGTGGGTGGTGACAACAGACCTGCCTGTGGCTGGCCTGACACCCCAGCTCAGGGCAGGACGGGTCGGTGGTCAGCCAGGCAGCTGCCCCCGGGCCCCTGGCATCCTGTGCTGGGGGGAAGGAACAGCGATCCTGACCCCTGTTCCCCGCCGCTTCTCTCACGCAGTGGTCACTGCCACGCTAGCCGAGACGGGCCTCGTGTCTCAGGGGATCCTGCTGCTGCTGGCCAGCCGCCTCCTTTTTGTCGCCATCAGCGTTTACTACTATTACCAAGTTGGCCGAAAACCCAAGAAGGTGTAGCCCCCCGCAGGGCCAGGGGCCCCTCTGGGGCAGGGAGGCCCTGGGACCGCCCTCGGGTCCCCTTTGGTTCTGGAAGGCAGGAAGCACCCTGCCCTGGGCAGGCAGGGCGGGCGCCTTCCCCTTCCTCCCTGGATGCTGTGATCTCCTGGGCCTTCAGAGCTGGGGAGGGAACGGGGCCCTGTACCCCGTCCTGCCCCCTGCACGGTGATGCCTCCTTCTCGTGAGCCTCCTGGCCTCTGGATCCCCCTGGACATATGCTTACGGGAGAGCTTGAGTCAGGGGCATCCAGCCGGGCTAGGCCCCTTCTTCCCCTGTCACAAGACCCTTCTTTCCTGAGAGGCTGTGGACCGCCTCCCTGTCCGTCCCCTGCACCTCCCAGCCAACGCTGCCCAAGCTGCCAAACTTGGTTCCCTCCCCTGCCTGGAAGACCCGAGACCTCGACCCTGGGCCCCTTCCCTTCCATGCAGGCCCCCTCCGCACACAGGGGCCTCTGTGCCCCCTAAACGCCCAGCACAGCTATGGGATGGCAGGGAGCCAGGTGGGGGGCCGCCTTTGAGCCAGTACCTCCCTTTCCGCCTCCTAGGGGCAGCGGGGCCCTATCCTCAGCCCCGGGCTCACTCTTGGCTTCTCTGCCTTGGCCCCAGCTTGTGGAGGCCCCCTAGATGCCCCCTTCCTCCTGGCCCCAGGCCGGCCCTGACAGATGGACCCCCGGGTAGCCCCGGATGAAGGCCACCTGTTAGTGATGGGGCTTGGAGTCAGGCAGAGAGAAGAGCATTTCCTCCTCACTTGGGCGTGTCCTCCGGGGTCTGCTGCACACCCGGCCCAGCCCCCTCGGCCACCTTCCCTCCTTCCCCAGGGTGCTGCCCTTTGGCCTTCTGTCCTGGGTTTGCCACGAGGCCCGGCTGTGGGTGTGACTGGGTACCCTTCAAAGCTCAGTAGGGCAGAAAAAAAAAAGAAAGAAACAGTTCAGCAGGCCTCCTCCATTCACACCCGTCTCCACCACTGCCCCAAAGGGGCTGAGACCCCTGCAGGCCCAGCACCCTTGTGCTGCCCACCCCCCATCGCAAGTCCCTCCTTTGCTCCCTCACACGGGGACTGGCGGCCCCCGTGTCCTGGGGACGGGTGTGCAGGGAAGCAGGCCAGGCCCCAGACTTGCCTCTTGTCTCAGCACTGTGTTGAAGGGGCGGGCTGGGTGCTCCTGAGGTGTAGCCCAGCTCGGGCTGCTGCCATGTGAGGGGCCCCCCACCCCGCCCCTGGGCCTCACTGCCCTCCCCCACGCCCACAGCTGTCCCTGTGGCCACAAAGCCGGCGCCACGGCCTTTGCCCAGTGATGCCACCACTGTAAATGGAGGCCTGCTCGGCGGGTCAGGAGCCCAAGGCTGCTGGCTGCGGCTGAAGGCAGCAGAAGCGGGACCCTGAGGATGGGCCATTCCCCCGGGGCCTCCGTCTCTTGGGCTGAGGTTCTAGTCTCCCTGTAGAATCGTATCCACCCCCCCGCACCCCTCCACCGAGTCCCAGGCAGGCCCGGAGCCAGTGCGGCCTTTGGAAGGTGGTGGTGGTGGCGGGCGGGCCGTGCTCCCGCCCTCCCCCACCCCCGGCCCCGCTGTGTCGAAGCTGACCCATGCTTTTCGAGGCATGGCTACTGCGCCAGCAAGTGATGGACGGCTTGTCCTAAGAACCAACCGCTGAGCAGGGGAGGGAGGCTGGCAGGGAATGGGGAAGCGTGGGCGCCGGAGCAGGGCCGGGCCGGGCCAGCCAAGCTGGGGCGGGTGGCACGGCCTTGGCTCCGAAGAGGGTGAACGAGGGCCCGCAGGGACGGCGCTGTCCCTCCTGAAGGCTCGAGAAGATCCAGGGTGCCCCTGCCCAGTTCACTCCTGCCAGGCTCCTGCCTCAGCCCCAGCCTCCTCCGCCCCCACCCCCAATCAAGACCACCGTTCCTCACGGTCACTATTTATTCTTCGTTCCTTTTTCTTTTTGTAAGAAACAGTCACAAAAAGCAGTGCAAAACCGTCAGTGTGGGCGTCCTGTTTTATATTACAAAAACTCCTCTGGATATATAATATAAAAAAGGGAGGCTCACAGGGGATAAACATGATAAATTAGCTCTGCTCCCTACGGCAGGGAACAGGTACAGTTTCCAAAATAGACTTTCAACGGATAGGACCCACCAGGGAAGGGACGAGGGGGCTTCTCGGGAGGTGGGGGGCTGGGGCCTCTGCTGGCTTGGAGGGTCCTTTCTGGGCTCCTTAGGCGTGGAGAGGAGAGGGGGGACATGGGATGCTGGGCAGGGCCCCAGCCCCCAGCCCCTAAGCAGGAAGGTGGCCTTTTCAGTACTGCGTGCAGTATGTGACCAAGCGCAAGGTCTCCCTGGGTCCTGGTCTATATTCAGGCTCAGGAAGTCTCAGCTAAGAGACTCCATGCCCTGCCCCGCCCCACCCCATGTGTGCATGCTAAGTTGCTTCAGTCGTGTCCTGATTCTATGACCCTATAGACTATAGCCAGCCAGGCTCCTCAGTTCATGGGATTCTCCAGACAAGAATACTGGAGTGGGTTGCCATGCCCTCCTCCAGGGAATCTTCTCAACCCAGGGATCAAAGCCACGTCTCTTACATCTCCTGCATTGGCCAGCAGCTTCTTTACCTTCAGTGCCACCTAGGAAGCCCCACCCCCTCCCCAGCAGCCCCCAAATTGCCATCTGCACCCATCAAGGGCTGTTGGGGCTGGGCTTGGCCTTCTCAGGTCTGTTCAGAATGGTCACAGATAGCCTTGCAAATAGCTGCCAGCCTGCATTAATGCTATAGAGCAGAGGCCTGCTTCCCCTTTCCAGCCCCAGAATGTAGTCAGTGGTGGCAAATCCGGGCTCCTTGACCCTTTCTGGAAAGCCCTTGGTGATGAGATACTCTCACATCAGCCCTCAAAACCCATCTCCCCCAGGTGTTCCTCCATGACCAGCCTTTAGGGGGAGCGTCAAACCAAATCTTTACAGCAGGCATGGAGCTCTGGTGGTATCAGGAGGCAGAGAAGGGGAGCACGAGCTCTAGGCCGCTGCTCCGTCTCCTGGCGGCTTGGAGGCTGGAAGCTGGCATAGGGCCTGTGAGACAGAATGGGTCCTTCCCAGACCCCAAAGACAAATGATAGGAGAGCAGGTAACATACTGCCCTTTCCACGCCCATGCCTGTGGCAGACATCACCAATCCAGCCAGAGTTGCTTGGCAGACATCACTAATCAAGATCACACTGTCACTTGCCCACTGAGCCCAGACCAGAGCTCAGATCCTCTGCCCAGCTGCCACTCCTGACCGGTCAGGGTCAAGACATCTTGCAGTGCACTTGCCAACACTGGTCTAGAATTCAAGACGTGCACATATAAGGGGCTGATCTGTGGGTGAGTCTGAGGAAGGCTTCCCCTGCCAGATCCTAGAGGCAACACTCAGAACTGTATGCTACAGACGGTGAGGGGACCAGAAAGCCTTGGCAGAGCAAAACTGATAGGTGCCCTGGGGCTCTTTAGCCTGAGGGTAAAGGGGCTCGGGGGGGGACAATGTGTGGCCTTCACACTTGGGGACAGAGAGAGAACACGTGGCATGACATGGACAGAACATGGAGAGGAAAGCAGAAACCTCTCGCGTGTACTGAGCTGATGCTGCTGTCAGAGCGGTCCAAAGAGAAGCCTGGCTTGGGAGGTAGTGAGCTCCCTGTCCTTGGAGGTGTGCAAGAAGAAGATGGAGAAGTCTTGGCAGGGATCTTGCGGAAGGCATCCAAGCGGCAATTCTGAGTGAGGAGAGGTGAGCCAGATGATGATCCAGGGGGTTCCTTCCAGCCCTGGGAGCCAGAGAGGGGCTTGTGAGGAAGGGTGGGCAGTGTGGAAAAGGGGCTGTGGTGTGTGTGTGCATGTGTGTGTGTTCCTGGGACTTAGAGAAGAGTGTGGAGGGGTGGAGCTGTGGAGCTGGGAGGAGGCCACTCCTGACCAGCTTGTCCCCTCTCTCCTGGGAAATCAGGATGTGGAGGCCAGGGAGCCGTGAGAGTGGCAGATCTGCTGGGACCAGCAGACCCTTGGGAGAAGTGACAGGCAGCCTCGGGGTGACAGGTTTCTTGTTCGGAACGGTCATGCATGTGCTGTGTGACTGTGGATGAGAAACCGCCCCTCTCTGGGCTTTCCAGGTCATTCGGTCAGAGAGATGGGGAAGCGTGGACCCTACCAGCCGGGCCATTCTTGGATCCAGTGTCTGGATCCTACTCTTGGCCCCGGCCTGAGGCAGGACAACTCCATCCTTGGGGGCCAGGGATTCCGAGTAGGTTTCAAATCCTCAAGGATGTAGTGACCAGGTCTCCTGGGGGCCCCTGGGCTTTGCCAGGCTTCCTCCACCATCTTCTTTTGCTTCATTTGCCTACATCCTTATGTTCTTGGCACCCAGTCCTGAAGCTGTGAGCCTAGGGCCCAGGTCGCTGGCTGTCAGATCTGGTTGGGTCGAGGAGGGGGCCTGGGCCTGCTGTTGCTTTGGTCTCCAGTGCAGACTGCCTCCTGGGTGTGCCCGGGTCCATGCAGTGAACCTGCGGTGCCCACTCCGAGTCCAGACGGGCTGTATCAGTCCATAGTTTTGTCTTCATTTTCTTTTGTTAAAAAAATAGCTATTTTCCTCTGCCCCTTTTTTCTGGCCACTCAGGATGGCCTCACCTCCTCCCCCGGGGCCAAGAGGGCAGGGGTGCGGGGGAGGGGAGGGCGTTGGGTGCTGGGCAGTGGTGGGCGGGGTGAGTCTTCAAGCTTCAGGCCACACCCTCTACTGGATGCCCCGGAAGAGGCACATGGCAAAGATCATGGCAAAAAGCTGCAAAGAAAGTAGGATTTGGCTTGTCAGTCTGGGCTCACAGCCCTCCGGGGCACTGTCCCACCCCGAGGAGAAGGGGCTGCCTGCCCTGGCACAGCAAGGGGGCTCACCCGTCACTCTTAGCACACTCTCGCTGCAGGCACTCCTGAGACTGCCCTGGGCGGGGCAAGCCCCTCTGCCAGCCACTGGTCCCCTCATGCGGTGTGGTCATGAAAAGAAGGAGGCTTGGGCCATAGGTTCAAATCCAGCTCTCTTATTTGCTGTCAGCAAACGTGGGCCAAACACTTCCCTTCTCTGGGCCTGAGTATGTATCAAGAGCTTACTGTGTGCTGGACACAGTTCTAACTGCTTTCTCAGAAGTATTTTCACAGATCAGGAAGTGAGACCCAGAGAGATCATGGAACCCACCTAAGATCACACAATAACAATGAGGAAGCCAGGGTCGGAGTCTAGGCATTCTGAGTCCCCAGACCAGTCTCACAGCCCCTGCAGTCCCCTCCTTCTAGCTCACAGGAGGGGTGTGAGATGGGAAGTCTAAGGTTATTAACAATATAATGAGGCCTATTATATAGTAGATGTTTAATTAAAAGTTACTAGAAATGTTATTGACAGCCAAGAAAGACATAGCCCTTCCCCAAAATAGAAGCACAGTCACTGAACACCTGTCTAAGGGCCATGGGAGGGTGGGGTATGCAGAGACCCTGATTCAGGGATGTCTATTTATTCAGGCTGGCTTGTACCCCGATGCCAGAGCTCCTGCAAGTAGTACAAGGCGCAGTCCCCAGACCACAGGCTTATGACCAAACCTCCAGGAGGGACTCTGGGTGGGGGAGGCAAGGCATATGGTAACCGTCCCTGTCTGAGGTCCTGCCCCCACCTCCCCCCGCACCCCCCCCCATCCCCCGCCCCCAGCTGGGCTTGTGGGCTGGGTGTGAGGGCAGCAGATTGGGAACACAGACACTGCTTAATAAGCCCCCGTCACAGGGTCCCCACCACCTCTGATGTCCACAGTGCTGTAGGAGCCAGCTTTTAGCATCATTTTGCAAATAAGGAAACTGGCTCAGGCATCCTGTGTGCGGGGAGAGGCAGATCTGGGAGCGGAACTCCAGAAGCCCGTGTTCTTCCGGCAGGGTACATGTGTCTGCGATTTCCCAGGGGGCCTGGTGCTGATCTGTGTTTCCTGATCATTGTTTCCTCCTGGGAGAGGACTTGTTCACCTAGAACAGTGTTGGTGACCAGCTGGGCCTCAATCTATGCTTGATGAGGGAATGAATGGGTGAATGAATAAATCCATCTCCCCATCCTCAAAAGTCTCCACAAAACTGGTCTAGGACTGCAGGACACAGTACTCCACGGAGATGAGTTTGAGCAAGGTTCGGGAGATGGTGAAGGACAGGAAGCCTGGCGTGCTGCAGTCCGTGGGGTGCCAAACAGTCGGACACAACTGAGCGACTGAACAACAGCAACGGACTCAGTAAGAAGCTAAGCAAGTCCAGGTTTACGGTGCTAGGTGGGAGGTGTAGGCTGAGGATTGCGCTGCCTGATTCCGTTTCCCCGCTGGCCAAGGACTGGCCGCCCCTTTCTTCAGACTGTGCAACCTCCCAGGCCAGGGCATTTGAGATCCCAGACGGGGCTGGATAGAAGGAAGGGGGCAGCTCCACCGTTTGACCACAGCGCCACCTAGTGGCGGCTCTAAGCGTCTGCAGCGGCCTTCCTTTCAAGGGGGCTCAGCGCCCGTCTGATCTTCACTGCTGGGACTCCATCCGCAACTTGTGAGGTTAGCAAGGCCCCACGGGCTCTGAACATCCCACAGAGAAGAGGCCTGATCTAGAAGCACAGGCTGTAGCCCCTCCCTCAGATCAGCTACGTCGATCCTTCAGAGTTCACTCTGGACCTTGGGTGGGGTGCAGGGTTTGGGGGCGAGTGACTCTCAGGGCCTGTCTACCCCCATTGCCCGGAGACTTGCTCAGATGCGTCCAGAGCCCCATAACAACTCAGGGAACAGACAGGCATGGCTGGGCTTATCACTCCATAGTCCCCGAAGCGGGGTCCCATTGGGTCCTAGGTTAGGGATCTGGAGCTGGAGGTAGGCTGGGGGTACAGGCTATGGGAGGGTCTGCCCCAGACCCTGTGAGGGTGTCTTGCTTCTGGGGAACTGCAGAAATGGGGGCCTTCACTTACCTCGATGGCCAGCACCCCTATGGCCAGGGCCCCGGCCAGGTAGACGTAAGTCTCAAAGGCGTTGAGGATCACTGTGTAACAGCCCTGCGGGGGAAGGACCAGAGGTGAGGCCAAAGCCAGGAGGGACGGGGTCAGGGGCCAGCCTCCCGACTGGGGAGTGAAGTGTGGGAACTGGCATGTGGCCCCAAAGCTCAGGCAGCAGCCGGCCTACCCTGTCCCACTGCTGCTGGGATAGTTCAGCGGGGAGGAGCCGGGAGGCAGGAGGCCCATAAATGCAGCAACTTGGCACCAGAGACCCACCTGGCCCTCTAGCCCCTAAGGTGGGGCTGAAAATGGCCAGCTTGACTGCTGCTCAATCAGACACAGACCCTTTTTTCTCTTCTGATGGGAATATTGGAAAATTTCCAATAAATGTCTGGACTCCCTTCTGCTCTCAAAAATAATCAGAAGATCCAGTAAGGTAGGCTGTCATTTCTACGTGGCTCTCCCTGGGGACAGGTGCCCCCTGGGGATTCGCAGTCCCCACCATCTTCTATCTTCCCACACCCACCCTCTCTACTCCTCCCCATTACCAGCCTGGCAGCAGGATTTTGGTTTGCAACCTCCGCCCTAAGGAAAGCCAGCCCATTCTTCAAGATCTAGCACATACCTCACCACCTCCAGGCAGCCTTCCAGGACCAGCCCAGCTCTCACAGGGCCCCTTCTAAATGGATTGCATTCCCATGCTATTACTGCTGTCTCAGGCAGTCCTCAGGATATACGGACTGAGACAGAGATGGAGCCAGTGAGAGGATGAGACAGAAAGAGGGGGACAGCATACCAGCATGTGACTGCCGCCCCATCTGACCCTGAGTGCCTCACGCCTTGGTCATCTTTGAGCCCACGCTCCCTCCCTCTGCTCCATGCTGACCAGAGACTGATGCCTGGTATTTGCTTTGAATGAATGTATTTTTAAAGAGAGAGAATTTTCTTCCTTTTAGGAGAATCTGCATATTCCTTGGGCCCCGCCAGCGGACCTGCAAGGGAAGGAGTCGCCAGGTGGGGGTTAGGGGATCACGCCCGGTCCCTGTTGGTGACACTGGCTGTGTCTGGGCTCTGTTGAGATTTGGGGGTGCTTCTTAGGTGATTCTTGGGGGCTCACACCCATTGTCAGTCACCCGGAAGCTCTGCCTCACTGGCTGGAAGTGGAAATGACACGCCATGAGGCTGCACTCAGGCAGGTGACAGCAGGACCTGATCTGGGCAGAGTGGCCAGGCAGATGGCATGGGACCCTCCTGCTGGAGGCTGATGGGGGCTGGGCAGGGAAGGCCCCCACAGGCCCCTCTTTGAGCACCCCGCAAACATACAGGATGCTCCCAGATGAACAGAACCCCCAGCATGGTGAGCTGGATCCACAGTGTTCTTGGGGCCGACGGTATGTCAGACTCATCTGGGAAGTAGTTAATAATACACATGTCAAGGCCTCAGCCCCAGGACCCTGGATCGGAGGGGCGGGGGTGGTGTCTGGTGTGGAGCCCAGGAACCTACGTGGTGAGCAGATGCCCCAGGTGATTTCTAAGGCCTGTGCCATGGTCAGGCTGAGACACCCCAGGCCTGGCAAGGATGACAAGGAAAGAAGGCCTTAGCTGACTGGGAGCCCAGCCAAGCACTGTGTGGCTGCAGACCTAAGGGCGCCCTCCCACGGGCCAGCTGGTCTGGAACCCAGCGTGATTGGAGGTGGCTTCAGAGCTGGCGGGGAAGCCCCATGCAGCCGGCCAGGCCTGGGGCCATCCTGGATCTGCCTGCAGACCCGTGTTGGGGCGGAACTCAAATCGCCAACCCCCTTGCTCCGTTTCCTGTGTTTGTGTTAAGTGGCTTCAGTCAGGTCCGACTCTGCCAGGCTCCTCTGCCCGTGGGGATTCTCCAGGCAAGAATACTGGAGTGGGTTGCCATGCCCTCCTCCAGGGGATCTTCCTGACCCAGGCGTCAAACCTGTATCACTTTCAATTCAGTTCAGTCGCTCAGTCATGTCCGACTCTTTGTGACCCCATGGACTGCAGCATGCCAATCTTCCCTGTCCATCACCAACTCCCTCCCGGAACTTACTCAAGCTCATGTCCATCAAATCGGTGATGCCATCCAACCATCTCATTATCTGTTGTCCGCTTCTCCTCCCACCTTCAATCCTTCCCAGCATCAGGGTCTTTTCAAATGAGTCAGTTCTTCCCCTCAGGTGGCCAAAGTATCGGGTTTCCCTGTCCATCACCAACTCCTGGAGCTTGCTCAAACTCATGTCCATTGAGTTGGTGATGCCATCCAACCATCTCATTCTCTGTTGTCCCCTCCCTTCCTGCCTTCAGTCTTTCCCAGCATCAGAGTCTTTTCCAGTGGGAAGACTTTCCTATCAGAGTCTTTGCATCAGGTGACCAAAGTATTGGCGTTTCAGCTTCAGCATCAGTCCTTCCAATGATATTCAGGACTGTTTTCCTTTAGTCCTGATTTCTAATGAATATTCAGAACTCAACACTCAAAAAAATGTTTCAATGAATGTTAAATCCCAGTTTGTTAATGGAGGTCTGTGTCTACTAAGACTCATTTCCTGGACAGTTCTTTGCTGTTAGGGTATATTAATGTAAAATTTAAATTATTAAAGGACACTCTAGGTTTATTTCTGAAGCTTATCTCAGTAATCTATCTTTGGATGAAGATCAGATGCCTCACGCATGACCTGCAAGCAAGGTGGAAAAAGACATAATTTAAGGAACTGTATCCAACTTAGATGGAAGGACCGTTCTATCAGGTACTCTTAACTAGTTCATGCCCAGTGAAATTGAAGGAAAATTGACTCTTGGATTAACTTTCACTTCTAAAAGCCCCTAAACTGGACTGGTCTATAGAGAGGCCTGCTGATCTCAAACTCACCTTAAAACGAGGCTCAAAAATAAGAAATTGCACTACACTAGGATTATATGCAGAGTACATCATGAAAAACGCTGGGCTGGAAGAAGCACAAGCCGTAATCAAGATTGCTGGGAGAAATATCAATAACCTCAGATATGCAGATGACACCACCCTTATGGCAGAGAGTGAAGAGGAACTGAAAAGCCTCTTGATGAAAGATGCTTCTGTTAGGTCCATACCATTTCTATCCTTTATTGAGCCCATCTTTGCATGAAATGTTCCCTTGGCATCTCTAATTTTCTTGATGAGATCTCTAGTCTTTCCCATTCTATTGTTTTCCTCTATTTCTTTGCACTGATCACCGAGGAAGGCTTTCTTATCTCTCCTTGCTATTCTTTGGAACTCTGCATTCAGATGGGAATATTTTTCCTTTCCTCCTTTGCCTTTCGCGTCTCTTCTTTTCCCGGCTGTTTGTATTACCTTACGTCTCTTGTATAGGCAGGCAAGTTCTTTGCCACTAGCGCCACCTGGGGAGCTCTTGCTTTGTTTAGCTTTTTTTTAAAGCATTAGAACCCCAACATAAAACCGCAGCAGCAGCAAGCAGGCCTGCTCCAGAGGGAAAGGAAGGAGACTGGGAGAGGGGCTTCCAGCCTCTCAGCCTCCCATCATTCCTCGAGGCTGCCACTCACCTCCTCCCCGCACCCTAGCCCGTGTCCTGCCACCATACTCGACGCCCCACTCTCTCTACCCAACACAGCCTGGACTTAGGATGTGCTTTGAGGGGCCACCCAGACGAGAGGCACCAGTAATCCGGGGAAAAGTGGTTACACAGGTAACACCAGCCACTTGCTTACTGGTGAGCTTACAGGCACATTTCGTTTTATTGCACTTCACAGATATTGTATGCTTTTAGAACTTGATGGCTTGTGGCAACCCTGCATTGAGCAAGGCTGTCGGTGCCATTTTTCCAGCAGTGGTTGCTCACTTCATGCCTCTGTGCCTCATTTGGTAATTCTCACCATTCTCAGCATTTTCACCCTTATTAGAGGTGTCACGGGGATCTGTGATCAGTGATCTTTCATGTTACTACTACCTTGTGCTTCCCAGGTAGCGCTAGTGGTAAAGAACCCACCTGCCAACGCAGGAGACGTAAGAGATGTGGGTTCGATCCCTGGGTCGGAAAGATAACCTGGAGGAGGGCATGGCAACCCACTCCAGCATTCTTGCCTGGAGAATCCCATGAACAGAGGAGTCTGGCGGGCTGCAGTCCATGGGGTCGCAAAGAGTCAGACACAACTGAGCGACTTAGCACACACTGCCTCTTGCTGATGTCTCAGATAACGGTGAGCATTTTTTAGCAATACAGAATTTTTAAATTATGGCATGCATACTGATTTTTTTTTCTTTTGATGTAAAGTGATCGCATACGTAACAGACTAAGGGGTAGTGTAAAAACCATTTTTTAAAAAAATTTGCTTATTTATTTGGCTGTGGTAGGTCTTAGTTGTGGCATGTGGGATCTAGTTCCCCAGCCAAGGATTAAACCTGGGGCCCCTGCGTTGGGTCCCTCGCTTCATTGCAATGGTCTGGAACTGAACCCTCAGTCTCTCCGAGGTGTGCCTGTACTTACTTTTTCTCAGACTCCTTTGCCCCATCCAAGGATGGGCCTGTGTAGGCTAACTACTTCCTAGGACTGGTATGAGGATAAGATGAGATGCTCCGGATAAAGCACGTGGAACAGTGCTGGCAGGGAGCCACCCCTCAGCCCCCGTTAGGACCATGTGCTTTCTCTCTGGGCCCCTCAGAGCACAGCCTAGGGGTGGGAGATGTCTGAGTGCAGAACTGGGTTTGCCCTGTACAATCCCGGGGATCAGTGGACCCCCCCCACACGCATGCACCCCTGTACCATAAGGGGATAGGAGAAGCAGTAACCCCCTTCTGAACTTGATGTTGACTTTCACATGCCTCACCTGGGCCTGGGGGTTCTTCTTAGGCCTGGGGGGGCCTTATCTGGCCGAGGGAAGTTGTCCTTACACCCCTCGCCTGCTGCGGGCAGGGCACCCAGGGCCTTAACTTCTCATCTGCCCTCTGTCGGGCTCTGACACCAAAGGTTCACCCTGGGCTGAACTAAGCAGATGGCTTGGCTGACGGAGGCCCTGCCACTGAGACGCCCTCAGGGAGAGAAGCCAGGGCAGGGGATGGACGGAAGACGCCGCCAGGACCCAGTGAGTGTCCCCTCTGGCCAGGACTCTGCTGGGGCCTCATGTGCTTGTTCTGACTTGGACCCCATTCCAGCCCCTCGAGGAAGAGGAATGGAAGGAGGGAGCAGACGACCACTGGCTCAGTGTCACCGCCGTGGAGGCAGGGAAGCGGGTTTGTACTAAGGGGAGTGCAAACTGCTTCTCTGCTCTATTCTAGGGGGAAGCAGTCGCATCAGGAAGCCTTGGTTCCTGCTCCCCCCCCCGGGGGGGGGGTCCCTGGCTCAGGGCCCCAAACTCCAGCCAGCACCCCTGGGTATCACCTCTTCCTCCCGCTCAGGACGGACGCCTGGCCCTGACCCCCTACCCCGCCCAGGGAGACACTGCAGTGACCATCCTTCCTCACTCTGCCACCAGACTGTGTGCCTGAGCTGTGCTGCTATCGCCAGCACCTCCCCTCCATCTCTGCAGGGAGGGAACATGCCCCCACCCTGACTCCCTGCAGCAGTCACTCCCCCCAACCTCATCTGACAGAGGCCAGAGGGGCCATCACGAAGACCGCCACGTTTCTTTGTCCAGCACGGACCTTCCCCCAAGCCCTGCAAGTCCAGCTGCCCACTGCCTGCAGGTCCCAAAGGCATCTGACACTCCACACACCCCAGGGCAGATCTGCAGTCCTCCCCCAACCAGAACCTATGAAGTCACTCTCAACACCGCCTCATCCTCCCTTCTCCAAAGTCAATCTACCACCGTTTTACCTCCTGATTCTTTTCTCAGATCCACACACTTCTGTCTCCTCTACCGTCATCCTGGTCTAACCCATCCTCGTTTCTCACTGGGACCAGTGTACAAATCCCTCCTGTCTACTCAGGCCCATCTCTAACCTCTGGCCAGTGAGCAGCCAGAGAGCCAACATGGCCACAACCCCACATAGAACTTGGGCTTCTTTGCTTTTCCAGCATCTTTGCCCTGGGTCCACAGGCAATGCATGGTCTGGCCCTGCTGATACCCTTGCCTGGAGCTAGTCTCACCTTATTCACTGTACTCCAGCCATACTGGCCTTCCTTTAATTCTGGGACACACCATGCTCCCTCCTACCCCAGGGCCTTTGCACAGTCAGCTCTCACTCTGGCAGGAGTGCTTTTCCCTTGTCAGGAAGATGAGAGTGTAGAAATTTATGTCTATGAGAGTCACAGCAACACCCATACTCATGACCACCCAGGAAGCAGGGGGGGACCCTTGAGGATAAAGCAAAGAATCAGTGATGCTATGGGGCAAGAAGACTTAAGACCACCCTGACAAGTGGGGAAAATAGATGGTTTCCTCTTGGGTCACGGTCTAGCTAGGTCACCATCTCCTGGGACAACCCCTGATTTTTTTTTTCTAAGCAGGGAAATACATTCTTGACTTGCCCATATGACTATCTTAGCCCAGGGAAGGCTGAGGAATGAGCAGGAGAAGCTGCCATGGTATTTTCAGCTCATACCTATGGAGGAGCCTGATTTTCTCTTTTGGATCACATTCCTTGGGGACTTCCTCATTTCTCTTCACTGGCATTCAGTGATAAACAGGGCTGATGGACTAACTCAATACCCATGGACGAGTGCCCTCTGCCTCAGCTCCTGACAGTTATATGACTGAGTTCTGGCCAATGAGACTTCTAAGCAGAAGTCTTAGGGAGGTTTCTGGGAAAGAAGCTGGCAACACCTTTTAAGTTTCTTCCCATCTTCAACGAGTGGAATGTCTGGAGCCATGGCAGCCGTTTTGCCACCATGAAGTACTAAGCATAAGGAAAGGCTGCAAGGATTACAGAGGCGAGACCTTGGCTGACTTGATGGAGCCATTGATAAATAGAGAAGCCACCATCTTCCAGAATTCTTACCGTGTGTGAAACACAAAGGCATTTGCCTTGATGCAGATTTTCAGTCACTTGGAATCAAATATGTTGCTTACTGACTCAACATTGTGATGAGGATGTAAGGCAAAGTCGGAAATGCATCCTGAGCTTCAGGGAAGTAGGCTTTGGAGAAACAACAGAGAGAGTCCCGCAGCAGAAGCTTTTAAAAAGGAAGAGTGCTCAGGGGGATGCTAGTGCCTCAGAAAAGGAATCCCAGGAGTCAGGCTCAGGCAGGCCTCATGAGGAGCTGGGGAAGAGTCACGGAACTAATGGAGCTGCACAGGGAACTCTCTGATGAGCTTCGATCTCAAAGCCATGCCCGGGAGATGGAAGGAGGCAGTGCAATGGAGGATGAAGCCAGTAAAGAACAGGGCCCATGAGAAACCTCCCTGAACAATTCACAAGTGGCTGTAGGAGAGAGGTTTGGCTGCAGGCAGCAAACAGTCCTATTGGTAGAAGTTTGTTTGTCTTTATCAACCCCTGTCTTCATCAAAAGCATAGACAAAGCTATGGTTTTTCCAGTAGTCATGTATGGATGTGAGAGTTGGACTATAAAGAAAGCTGAGCACCAAAGAATTGATGCTTTTGAACTGTGGTGTTGGAGAAGACTCTTGAGAGTCCCTTGGACTGCAAGGAGATCCAACCAGTCCATGCTAAAGGAGATCAGTCCTGAATATTCATTGGGTGGACTGATGCTGAAGCTGAAACTCCAATACTTTGGCCACCTGATGCAAAGAACTGACTCACTGGAAAAGACCCTGATGCTGGGAAAGATTGAAGGTGGGAGGAGAAGGGGACGACAGAGGATGAGATGGTTGGATGGCATCACCAACTCGATGGACGTGAGTTTGAGTAAACTCTGGGAGCTGGTGATGGACAGGGAAGCCTGGCGTGCTGTGGTCCATGGGGTCACAAAGAGTCGGACATGACTGAGCAACTGAACTGACTGATCAAGCCCTGAGTTGCTGGCTGCTCTGCTTCATAAGGTTGTCAGTGGCCTAGGTACCTTCTCTCTTGATGCTTGGATATTCTAGGGGGTCACCTTCCTCTGCAAGGTCTGAGATGGCTGTCAATCACGAGCTGGGGGTGGGGGATAAGAGGGAGAAGGGGTGGGCACAGCACTTTCTCTGAAGGACATGACTCAGTTGCATAGATCACCTCTGCTTTCCTCCCTTTGGCTAGAACTTGCCATGTGGCCTAGCTGCAAGGGAGGCTGGAAGAGCGGCTTTACCTGGTGGTCACTGGGTCTATAAACCTCCTCTTTCCAAGGAGGAAGCATGAACTGAACATGAGGGCAGCCAGCCGTCTCTGCCACTGCATGGGGAATCTGAGGTCTGGAGAGTGAGTCCTGGCCAAGGTGACACAGCTCTGACGGCCGGGTCCGCCTGACATCACCGCCTGAAACGCCGCCCCATGCTCTGCAGCCTCCTCAGGGCTGAGACCTAACTCCTGGGAGCGGCTGCCCTGCCCCGGCCCACAGCAGCCTTGTCCTGGGACCTTTGTTTCTTTACTTAGGTCTCTGTCACTCAACGCAGGGACAGAGGACCATAAGGGATGGAGGAACGTGACTCTCCGGGCCCGGGGAATCCTTTGACATGATGTGGGCAGGTGCAGGGGAGGAGGGTGCTGAGTTTATAAGGCAAAGCTGAAGCTGGAAAGAGTCTCATCAGATGGCCAGGGTCAGGCCTTAACCCAACTCTCCTCTTCCCTGGGGGGACTATGAGAGGCTTGCCTTAAGCCCTACCCCCATCCCATCCTATCCCTTCTAGCCCATCATCCAGTTTTATTTTCTTTACAGTGAAATGATTATTTCATGTGAGATTATGACTTCTTATGTGCTTGCTGCTTGCTTATCATCTGCTTCCTCTAACCAGACTGTAAGCCTTGCAGGAACAGGGGTTTTGTCTCCTGTCCCCTGCTGTGGCCCCAGGCATCCGGAGCTCTCCCATGGGAGCCTCATCAAAGGTGGAATCAGGCATGGGGTGTGGGGCTCAGCTCGCCCTCGTTTTCCCCCCACTGCCCCACCCTCCCCCAGCCTGGTCTCGCACATCCCCCTGAGGAGTGCGGGGACTGGTCAGCAGGAAGGGGGGTCAAGGTCAAGGGCAATGTGTATCTCCCCGAGGGGACATAGCAGGAAGGGAAAGGACTTCTTCCGAGACTGAGATGAAGTCCTTGGGTTGTAAAAGAAGCCAAGAAGTCTAGGAGCTTCCCTGACCTTGGAGGCTAAGGTCAGGGAAACCTTATTCTCTTGGGGTCTGGGGGTGCTTCCACATGACAAATGTGAGTTTTCCCCAAATAAAGTGCACAGCTGAGGAGGGGCCCTGCTGTGTACTTCTGGTTTTGGTTCTTGAGACCTGCATTACCAGAAGCTCAGGGAGTGTTCTACCTGGAACACTGGAAAACTCCTAGTTACCCTTGAACCCTAGCCAAAATGCCCACTCCTCTGGTCTATGCCACTGATGGACTGTCTGCCATTCTCATCCTTTAACCCCTTTGGCTGGATCTCAGGGGTATGAATGAAGCCTTCCTTAGCCCCGTTCAGGAGTCCCACAACACAGCCAACATTTCCACGGGATTCCCTGAGTGCCTTCAGACCTTCTGGGCTCACATTGCCACCCACCCAGCTTGGCCAGCCAATCCTGATGGACAGGGCTCCTCTGCCAGGGGAAGCAGGGTCTGGTACCTGCTTGTTCAGGAATAGGTCCCTTCCCAAGAGGCATTCCTCTCTGCTCAGCAGGACCCCGTCCCGACTCTGGGGTTCTCTCCGGCAGCAGGCCTCCGGCACCTCGTCACTGTCCAAAGTCAGGAGTCGGAACACTGATGCATACTTAAAGTCTTCAGGCCCGTTGACTCCACAGCAACCGAACTAGGAGAGAGCGAAGAGAAGGAGGGGCGGGGAGGAGCCGCAGCCAGGTATGAGAGTGAGGAGACTCAGGCCACTGTGGGGCAGTGTAGTGGGGCAGTCGTGACCCCGGTGGGAGCGGGCTCCAGCTGCTCCACCTGGGCAACCACGGGAAAGCCACTCAGCCTCTCTGAGCCTCCCGTGTCCTCATCGGTAAAATGAGAGTGGTGCTAACAATTCCTACTTCACCGGCGCTGAGCACTCAGTAAGTAGTTGCTATGGTTACCATCACTGATGACTGTTACAATTGCTTGAGGACTCAAGACAGGGAGGGCAAACAGGTTTCACCCTGAGTTCAGACTGTGGCTGATGGCCCACGGCTGCCCGAGATGCTGTGCGGACGGATGCCGGTTCCGAGGCTGGGCCGGGGCTGGGTGGATGAGTGCCTGGTTGATTACTGACATCTGCATAGGCGCAGAGAGCAAGGCTCCGGAGGCCAGACAATGGGTCCCCTGGGCATCAGGGCTGAGGGCTCAGAGCATCCCTGGGGCCACTCACTGTGATCATGACGGAGTTCCAGGTGGCGGAGAAGACGTCCGTGTCATTGTTGCCCTGGTAATGCTTGGCAAGCTCCTTGGTGAAGAACTCACGGGTGAGCTGGAGGCAGAGGGAGGGGCTGGGCTGAGGGCCATGGCTGCTTGATATGGCGGGCGCCCCCTTCCCTGGCCTCTCCACTGATCTGCTCCGGGTGAGGGTTGGGGAAGGCCTCTGGGCCGCAGTGCCAGGGACCCTCCTCCTAAGCAGCTGACTTGGGGCGGGTCCTTGGGGTCCACCCCCCACCTCTAAGGACCTGTGGCCTCCCTGCATCGTCAGATCCCCAGCATGAACACGCAGACAACCCACAAAGCCCTCAGCAAGCCACCGGGGAACCTCCACTGGTACTGAAGCTCTTCCCAGAGGGTGGCGGGTCCACAGTGGGGAGCTCACCCCTCCTGCCACTCCCTAACCCTGAGCTGTTCCTCAGACAGAACCGAGTGGATGCGCTGTGTCCTGCGCCCTGAAGAAGCCACTGTGTGTGCAGCAGGCCATCTCTGCAGAGCCAGTTTCCAAAGAGGCCCTTGGAAGTCACTGCTACTTTCAAAATACTCTCTGGAGGCCTGATCACCCTGCTCCCCTCTGCAGGGAAGGGTGGGGCCCCCGGTGGTTAGAGCCTCTGGGATAAGATGGTCTCTGGGGGCAAGTGGCCCAAACTGCATCCCTGCCAGGGCCTCGTCCAGGAGGACTCTGCCCTGTTCTCCTGCTTGGTGCAGATTCTTCGTGGGGTCTGGGGGTGGGCTGGGGGATGGGCAGCCTCTCTGACTGTCCTTGGACTATGAAACAACTATTGCTGGGCCAGTACTGGGCAAGGCATAGAATGGAAGATTCTAGAGTCAGGGATGGGTTGCACCAGACGTTTGGAAAGAGTGCAGACCCTTAAGGGCCCTCTGACTCTGACCTTCTGGAAAACCCTTGCAAGGACAGGCTCGCAGGTTTCTTTTTGGGCTTTGGGGCTTCACTGGGGTGGTGGATTGTGATTGGAGCTGGAACCACTGGATGAGAGGACGCTGACTCTGTGAGACCCTCTGGGGACGGAGGGCCGGCCAGGAATGGGCCAGGGCACACGGGGCCAGGTACGTACATTTTCCCTGAAGATGAAGGCCAGGATGGCTGCTGAGAGCTCTGCCAAGAAGATGATCAGGATGAACAAGAAGAACTGCAGAGAGAAAGGGGCAGACCTGTGAATCCTGAGGGCAGGTAGGAAGGGGACAGCTGACCGCTCTCTGAGGCACCCTTCCATCTGTCACAGGATGGCGGCAATGTACTGATTTCATAAGACTGAGGAACTTAACTGCCATAAACCAGACATTTTTCATAATAAACACCCCAACAATCCACCTTTGGAGCCAACAAGGTTGTAACACAAATATGGAACAGATAAACATACAAACATGCCTTCTGTGCAAATGGTACCCTTTAGTGGCCCCTTGTGCAGTGTGCGCTCTGAGCAACTGTACTTGGCAGCCCTTGAAGAAGATCGATGTTGAAACTTGTTTCAACCTCCCCCAGGTGGACTGTCCAAGTAGTGGGAATCCTGAAGTCCCTGGGGATCCCTGGCTGGCTGTCCCCACCCCATCAGGCCCAGGACTGCCTCTCCCTGCCCCGCTGCCTCTCATTCCCATGGGTAGTAGGGGAAGTGACATTACTTTTCAGCTGCAATAATGGAGCATGATTGGAGGGAAGGCGTTAGGTCTATCAAAATCTGAAAACTCAGGGGCTGGGCATCTGGAATCTAACAGAGCCCTGCTCTGTGCTACTCTCTGCATGTCTCCCTGTTGCCCAAACTCACCATGACACCTTTCGCCTCGGGAACCTCACACGCTGAGCTCCCTGTATCTGGAAAGCCCTGCCCTTGCTTGCCCACCAGCACCCTGCTTTCCAGACTCGGTCCCTGGCTCCACCCACACCACAGGGCCCTGCAGAAGTGTGTACCGCAGCCGCTGCATCCCCGCTGGATCACCACCATCAGCTGGGATCCAGCGGGCAGTGTTCTCGACGCCTGGACAGCACTGGTGTTGCTATATGGCTCTCTGATGAGTAAATGAATCCACGAATTAACAACTCGCCATAATGACCTTGCTATCTGCTATCTCTAGGCCCTGGACATCGTGGGCACTGTTACGGTGGATGGTTGTCAGCAGAAAAAAGAGGAAGTGGCTGTGCCCTCATCTCTTAGCGTTGTCCCCTTGCACTGGGACAATCCTGGAGTTGTCACTCCACCTGGAGACCAGTCACCAGTAGGGCCCCAAAACCCCCGTGCACATGGACACGGCGACCCCAGGACCTGTTCCCTTGCTTGGGTCACAGTCCTTAAGTACGGACTGTGTGTGCCCAGGCTGGAAGGAAGCAAAGGGTGCTGAACTTGTCCTCAGCCCTTCAGACCACCCTGCCTCGCTTTGAAAGTCTTAAGACCTGGAGGGTTTCCTGGGTTCCAGGATAACAGGGTGTTAGGAGCCTGTGTTCTAGAATCAGAGGTCCCGTGTTTATTTCCACTGTGCCACTTGCCAGCTGGGCCAGCTCCGTCAGGTTCTACGCGTCTGGGTTCCAGTTTCTCCATCAGTAGGACAAGGGTGTTGATGGTCAGCAGCTGCTTTGCCAGGCTGCCCAGAGGGTTCAATGAAATGACTCACGTAAGAGCCATGCTTAGGTGCTAAGCGCTGGATGCCTGAGGGAGTGTGAGTGCTAAGCCGCTTCAGTTGTGTCCATCTCTTTGCAACCCTATGAACTGTAGCCCACCAGGCTCCTCTGTCCATGGGATTGTCTCCAGGCAAGAATACTGGACTGGGTTGTCATGCCCTCCTCCAGGGGATCTTCCTGACCCAGGGATTGAACCCGTGTGTCTTAAGTCTCCTGCATTGGCAAGCAGGTTCTTTAATAGTAGTGCCACCCAGGAAGCCCCAAGCGCTGGATAGATGATAGTTATGCTTTTTCCAGAGATCGCCCATGCTCGGGCTTGTCTCCAGGAAGGCCATGCTTGCTCTTGGTTCTGAGCCACCATCTGAGCCATCCTCACATTGGGCACGGTGCGTCACCTGCATTATCTCACTGATGCGGTGCTAAGTCCCCCAGAAAGTGCACGCACGCTCCCAGAGTGATGAGCACGCGGAGTTCACGAGCTCCGTCTCATCCATAGTTTATAACTGCCTAAGCCGAGATCGATAGGCAGAGACAGCTCAGTCACATCGCTGGGGTGGAGACCATTTCCGAGGCTGCGGTTTGCCAGCCTGAGGACTGCCAGCAACTCCACCGAGAGGGCAGAGGGCAGGGCGGGGCTCCGTGGAGGCCTTGTGAAACAGAACCGGATGACCATCTGTCACCAGCCCAATGGAGGTGCCAGGAACCCCGCCAGGACCCTTCATCACTGTCACAGGGATGGGAGGCTGCAGAGGTGGGGAACATACCTCTTAACCCAAGGACCAGCTCTTGGAAGTGGAGGGGATGGGATGGACACTGCGGCCACGGGCAGTCTGCCCAGGGCACAGCAGATCTGTCACCTTCTGGTTGGGGAGCTGTACCCCCAACTTCAGTCCAAGATCACCCCACACAGCTGACTGCAGTGAGGCTCACTGCAGGTCTGCTTCCTGACCCGTCGGAACCAGAGCCCCAGGTTTGAAGACTCAGATGGCCTGCAGGGTCTCTTGTGGATCAACAGCAATCGTTTTGTTTTCAGTTTATCAAACGCTTATATGTGCCAGGAACAGAGTTACGCAAGATGTACATTTTCTTAATGAATGATGATCACAGTATTATGGCTGGTAAGGAGGTATTATTATCTCCAGTTTACATATGAGGAATCTGAAGTTCAGAGAGGTTAAGTAACTGACCCCAGGTCACACAGCCAGGAAGTGGCACAGAGGGATAAGAACCAGGCTTTTCTGACTCCAAAGGCCACGCTCTGACCCACGCCTCCTCCCTGATCCTTCAGTCCAGGCCTGTTTACTGAGCACATACTCTGTGCCAGGTACTGTGCTAGGTGGTTGTTGTTTAGTTGCTAAGCCGTGTCCAACTCTTCTGCAATCCCATGAACTGTAGCCTACCAGGCTCCTCTGTCCCTGGGACTTCCCAGGCAAGAATACTGGAGTGAGTTGCCATTTCCTTCTCCAGGGGATCTTCCTGATCCAGGGATCAAACCCTTGTCTGCTGCATTGGCAGGTGGATTCTTTATCACTCTGAGCCATCCGGGAAGTCCACTGCGCTAAGTACCGATAAACACACACAAGGGTGATGTGATCCCCACTCTGATGGAGTTTCCACTGAGCCAAGATTCATGATCCATGAAATGAAATTCACGAGATGAAAAGCATAAGAGTCATGAGATGAAATGAAAGAATAAATCTGTAACTCATTGATGGGGAAAGCAGGTCTCCCCAGAGGAAGAGGGTCTGCAGATCTCCTGGCCATTGTTCCCGCCTGAAGCAGGGCCTCCCAAAAGCCTGGGCACGGAGGTGGTGACAGGAGTGTGTCAGTCACCTGGAGGAGAGTGCAGGGCTGTGGGGTCAACATCAGTAACAAGGTCACTTCTGCCCGCGTCTCCAGCATGAAACAACTGCCTCCTGCTTGACGAGATTACTACTGGTTATTTGAAGGGGGATCCCGCCTGGACCCAGCCACAGGGCTGATGCTTTCTGGGGCTCCCCCAAACCAGGGCCTTTCCCAGAGTGTTAGTCTTGAGTTATCTGACCTCATCCCGTTTGCCTAAGGGCACATTTGCCAGTAATTCCCCAACATCAAATTTACAACACTTTGCTTAGGATCAGACGATTAATAAAGGGGTAAAAACTGCTATTTTGCCTACTTGTGAGCATTTCCAGACTTTTCTAACCCATCTGCCTACAATACATCTGCTTTTCGTTCTCATTTCTAATAATATTTACCAAATTTACATACTTGATGTACAATTCAGCTTGTTTTACCGCTTTTAAATTATACTCTTCCCTTTTTGCTGTTCTCTTTTCCAATTTAGCATGTCTTGGTTATAAAATATTTTTAAAATGTGAAGTTTTCAATAAACGGGTTAAAAACATTCCTTGAACTGTTTATAGGTAAGCAGATAGGCAAAAAGGGATGCCACAAAATATCACAAATAGGCTGAAGTTGTCCTGTGGTCCATGAAAATGCTCTAGAATTGATCAACAGGACTGTTTGGAAAATCTTTTTTTGAGAAAAGTAGGTCATTAGGTGACATTATTCCTGGGCTAAGGGTCACTGGGACCCCTCAGGGCTTAGCCTCCGAGCAGGGGCAGGGGTCACCCAGGTGACCTCCATCCCCAGGCCTCCTCTCTCTGTGGGCCTTTGAGCTCCAGTTCCAGAGGGGACTGAAGTCACCTTCTCTTGGCTTCTCCCAAGACTAATCTTGACTTCTTCACTGAAGTGTGACGAGGCGGCTCAGGCTTCTTTAACGACCGAGGAGCGGTGAGACTTGGTGTTGGAACCACCCTGCAAGGCCGAATCCAGGTTGGAAAAGAAAATGGTTTTCCTTACTTTTCAGATCATGAATCTTTCTGAAAAGTTTTCAGAAGCTGTGGGGGCCCCAGAAAGACACAAGTATGCACACCACACCCACACAGACCACACATGTTATAGGCACACACACATAATATTTTGCATGTCATTTTGGTTGCGCTTTGAACCACTTGAGTTCATTCCAGGTTAGGAGCCCCTGGACCAGCCCCTCTGAGACAGCGGACCCGGGTCCCAGCGTCCGCTGCCTTTGACCTGCACTGTGATGTCAGGGTCATGTGCCTTAGGCTTGGGACAGAGAGGAAAGCGGAGGGGACAGGACGAGCGGGAAGGGGAGGAGGAGAGGGGGCGTAGAAGAAGTCAAGGAAGTGGAGACACCGGGGAGGGGGCAGAGACAAGGGGGCGTCCAGGAGAAGGAAAGGCAGCAGAACAGAAACCACGGGATCAAGAGGAAGGCAGAGAGAGACAGGGAGACAGAGGCAGAGGAAGTGGGAGAAAAGGAGGGGACAAGCAGGCAGGATGAGACCGAAGGGAGACCAAAGAGAAGGAGGCGGCGAGAGGGGGCACTTTAAGGTTTGGTGGGCAGACCGGCCACAGCCAGGACTTAGGTCTCTCTCCGGGGAGAGTTGCAGCCAGTCCCCTCCTGGGCCTCAGCCTTCTCCCCTAGGCACTGGGGAGAGCGATGCCTTGTCCAGCTGGCCGGCTCTGAAGGGGCCACTTAGCTGGAGAGGGCTTGCAAGGCCCCCAGCTTGCTCCTGGCCCAGAGCGCCAGCCTGGTTTCTGTCTTGGCTTCAGAGATGAGCCCGTTCACGCTGGAGGAGCCCCAGGCACAGAGGTGCAGGATGGGCGGGGGAGGGTGGGTTTGGTGTGTCCTGGGACCCCTACTCAGCTCCTTTCAGAGTCCCAGGCTCCCCATGGCCAGACCGCCGGCACCATCGGACACTGCACAGAGGTGTCCGCCAGGGGGCGCCAGACGCCTCGCGAGGCCGCTTCGCGGACCGGCCCGCGCCTCCCTCTCACTTAACTCCCGACCCACCCGCCGGCTCCCTGGCGAGGCGCGTCTGCAAGTTGGCCCAGCCACTGGGCCAAGCTGGGCTGTTTTTAACTTCCCCTCCGGCAAGATTGCGCTCAACCCAGTTTTCCTAACCCTGAAGGCACAGGACCTGGGAGGGGAGGAAGCCCCATCACCAAGGCCAGACCAGTAAGGAGAGAAAGGGCCACAGCTCCTGTGAATACTGAAGACCCAAGAAACCCGACATCCACTGCAGGTCTCCTTTGACTCCCGTCTATAGCCGAGCGCGTTGGCCTCTCGCTTCAGCAGCAGACGCTAAAGCTCAGGGAGGTTAGGAAACTAAACCAGAGTCACACTGTTTGTTATGAGACAGAGTCCCACACACAAACCCAGCTCATCCTCCTGGGCTCGCTGACCCCACCCCCCCAATACTATGGATGGTCAGTCAGCCCTGGATGCATATATAGCACGAGTGAACCACGTGGCCTGTGACAGCAGGTCAAAGTCCATTCATTTCATGAATAGAGGACCTACCGAGATCATATCACTTCCATTTTAGAAGTGGAAATGTGAAAGCTGGATGATTTATCTGATAGTGATCTTTGCTTTTTTATCACGGACTTATATATTTGAATTCTTAGAAGAAAGTCGAAAAGCATCATGAGTCAGTGTTCTCAGCTGACCCTGCTGTGGGGAAGCCTGGCCGTTCGGACCTGGAGGCCGAGGCCACCGCGCGCCTGGGGGCGGCTCGACCAGGCGGCAGGCACGGGGCCAGCACGGACGCATATGGCAAGGGTTGGTGGCTCTCCTGCTCCTGGAGGCCAGCCTACCTGGCTCAGACCCCAGTGGACAGCCTACCTGGCTCAGACCTCAGTGTGAGTCCCCCCTGGTTTGGATGCAGGCCTCTATCCACCCCCCACCCCCAACCAGGGCACCCATTGGTGGGGTGGGGGATGGGATACTCACGAACAGCAGCAGACACTTGTTCTCCCGGACGGCCCCGCAGCAGCCCAGGAAGCCGAGCAGAAAAAGCAGGCCCCCCATGGCCAGGAGGATGTAGGCGCCCGTGATGAGCAGGGGGTTGGCGGCCACGATCTCCCGGAAGCCGGTGGGGTCCACCATGACCCAGATGCCGATGCCCAGCAAGCAAGCTCCGCCCAGCTGTTCCCCAGGGCCAGGAAGGAGCATGGAGAAGACACGGGGAGACACCACGGTTAGACACTCCACACACACACACCAGTTCCCTGCTCGAGGCCCTGGGGTGGAGGTGCTGAGTTAGCTGGGAAGAAACTCCAACTGTGTTTTCCTCTGCTTTGAATTTCCCTTCTTAACTCTGACCTAGTGTGCATCACGCACCCTCCAGAGCCCGTCTCTGGCCAACACTCTACTTTGGGCTGCGGGGAACCACGTCCCGTAGAGTCTATCTGCCACGTTCATGTTCTCCTTAAGTGTTAGCACCACTGAGGTCATGCAGTCCAACCCCCTGATTCCACGCTGAGCCCCAGAGGGGGCCAACGATTTGCCGAAGGTCACGCAGTAGGTTCATAGCAGAGCCAGGGCTGAGCCCCAGGTCCCCCTGACTCCAGCCCCAAGACCCTCCCCAAGTTTGTGAAGATGCTCTGACACCTATGCTGGGAAAACACAGATGGAAGCCATCCTCTTTGTCCTCACAGGAGCTCTCAGTTGGGGCGGGCTCCCCACTCTCAAATCCGCTCCTAGAAAGCCTTCTTGTTCATGACTTCATCTCCAGGGTCCACCTCTCCACGCCTTATTTATCTCTCGAGAGAGGCAGCTTAGTCCAGAGAAAGGGCTGTGCCACGTATTAGCTGTGAGACCTTGGTAAAGTGCCTTAACCTCTCTGAGCCCTAGCTTCCTCATGGTTAAACGAAGATACTGTTTCCCACCTCCCAAGGACTTGAAGGTGCCTAGCAGGGTTCAGTAGACATCCGTTCCACTGGTCTTGGGCACAGACCAGTCTCTTGGAAACAGAACTGTTGCAGGAGAAATCATTGGGCATCATGGGTTTTAAAGACTGGGAAGTGCTTGAAATCCCCGCGTGGTGGGAAGACCGGAAGAATGATGCAAAATGACACAAAACTGCCAGCTCACAGACAGGGTCTGTAAGCAGGGGGGGAAGAGCTTGATGGTTTAGGGCAAAAGACGGTCCTTTCAGGTGCGGCGGGGGGAGGGTTGGGGCGCAGAGGCCCGGGGGACCAGGCACAGCCAACAGCAGAAGCAACGTTTTGCCATCTGCTGTGCTCTGCCTTTCTCCCTGGTTTCCCCACAAAACCTCCAGGAAAACCCGTGTCCCCTCCTCACGGCTGCTGGAGGTTTGGGAGTTTTAACAATTGTGTGCTGAGTTCTGCTTCAAGGGGGGCTCAGGCACAAACTGAGCAGCCCAGGGTCATCCCGCTTGGAAGTTGGGTCTAGAATTCAAGTCTGTGGCGTTGCCTGCTCTTCAGAATTAGGGGCAGGGGAGGGGAATCCAGGAAAGTTGCTGAAGTGTACACAGAATAGATGGAGACAGACAGACAGACAGATGGAGTCAGTCTTGACCAGAAGGGGCCTCTCCTTCCTAGGGATCCTGCCCTGGCGGACTTCAGCGGCTGTTTACTCATCCAGGTCTTGGCTGCACTAAGGTCAAAGGTTGAGGTGGGGTCATGTGACGAGCGCGGCTCTGCTCCCAGGAGAGGCCAGAGGTCTGAGCAGAGCAGGTGGGCAGGGTTGCACGGCGCTGGGCTGACCCCCTGGGCCCTCGGGGCCTCTGTTCTTTCCTGTATAGAATCCATAAGTTGGATGGGGATGGAGCCGATACATTCCAGGCACTTCCTAAACTAATCTTGCTTCATTGTCAAAGAATCTGTTGAGGTAGAAGATTAAGGGATGAGGATACTGAGGTTCAGGGAGCCGGCATGTGTTTTGGATGACATCGCGGGTGAGGTGCAGAGTCGGGCTGTGAACCCAGGTGTCTCAGTCCCAGGGAGGCTTCAGACCACATCAGGTGGCTACGTCCGCTCTGCTCCGCAGTCCACAACTGCTCAGGGGGTCAGGGCTTGGTGGCGGCTCCTGCTACCCTCTGATCATCTCCACCTTCCCTTTCACCTCAGCTCCTTATGAGGGGTCAGACCCCAGGGTAGTAGCCGGGGCTAAAGCCTCTGCCCCCTTTCTTTTAGAACAGCTGAACTATCCCGGGGCTGTGCACAATGTCTCTCCTGTGATGGCGGGCTCTCTGAGTGGGGTGGGCACTACTCAGGGTCCCCCCACCACGAACCCCCCACCAGGCAGGTAGGGCAGCTTCTAGCGCTGGCCCTGGGCCTCAGCCCCATGTGACTCTCAGCAAGCAGCAGTCAGTTTCCCCCACCCCACAGAGGCCGGGGGAGAACCCCAGACACGTTCCAGGAATACTCACAAATATGAAGAAATTGAACACAAACATCAGATACTTCATGCAGCTCAGACAGTCTCCTTCCATGGTGATCCCCCTGCAAAACGGCAAGGCCCGTTCAGTCCTCTCGCTGGGGGACCCCATCCAGAAAGAACCCGTGCCCATCCTCTGCCTCCTCCCCCTTGGGGTGTCCCACTGGCCAGCCTGCCTCTGGAGCTGAGAGGGGAAGAGAACAGTTGATCACAGTTTCCTCATCACAGGGCTCTGCCCTGGGGGGGCTGGAGTTAGGAGTGAGGACTTGTGAGCCAGCCAGCCTGGGTTCTCTACCATTCCTGTGCTGTGTTGTCTCAGGCCAATGGGGGCTTCCCAGGTGGCGCTCGTGGTAAAGAACCCACCTGCCAAAGCAGGAGACATAAGAGATGCGGGTTCGATCCCTGGGTTGGAAAGATCCCCTAGAGGAGGGCAGGGCAACCCACTCCAGTATTCTTGCCTGGAGAATCCCATGGACAGAGGAGCCTGGCAGACTATGGTGCATAGGGTTGCAAAGAGTCAGACACGACTGGAGCGACTTAGCAGGCACGCACGCATGCACTCAGGCAGATGACTCCACCTCTCTGAGTCCGGCTCACTCCAAGTTGAAAAGGGAGATTAAAAACAGAAGCTTCCTCCCCAGTGGTACTGGGGGGATTAACTGGAATAATGCATAAACATGCTTAGCACCACGTGGCAGACTCTCAGAGGTATGATGTCATGATGTTACTTGATTGCAGGCATGAGCAATGCAATCTGTTTGATAGATGAGAAACTAAGGCTCAGAGCTGTGAGGGGCTTGCAGAGGTCATGGAGCAGGATCAGGACCCAGGCCTGACAAACTTCCTACCACCCCACATGCCCTCTGACCAGAAGGACCTGCCCCCGGGGGAGGGGGTGTTGCAGGGAAACAGTTGCTGGCACCTCCTGGGGCCTCAAGCCCCCAGACACTCCCCTAACCCTGACCACCTCCATCATGAGACCTACCACATCCCACCTTCCCCTGGAGCCTCCCTGGTCCCTATGGACTCTTAAGTACTTCCATGGTAGCGGGACAGACCACTGAATACAGTTCTATTCTGCCAGCATTTATTGTGCAATGACTGGATGCCAGGCACTGCAGCTTGAAAACAAGCCTTCCCCTGTGCCCGGGGGAAGCAGATGGCATCCACTATCACAAGTCAGCCTTCAAAGTGCACATAAGCCATGGTCATGTTCAGTACACCACATTCAGTATTCCCACACTTTCTTTCTGACAGTCCTGGGGAGAGGATGGCAGGTCCAGGAGGATCCCTGGTCCAGGCCCTGTCCTCCCAGCAGCCCTCGGAAGGCTGAGACGCAGTGGGCACCTGTGGGTATGGAAGGCTTGTGTAGCATCTCCAGGTCCACGCCATGCCCATCAGTTGTTAAACCATCGTCCCTGACAATGGCTCATCCTTGTCCCTTGTATTGTCTCCAAGCCCAGGCTCTCTACCTCCAGAACAGGTCCCCAGACCAAGCCAGCCACCCTCTTTCAACTCCTCCACCTCTGACCTTCTAGAAGCAGCATCTAACCTGCCTCTAAACGGGACAGTCCCAAGCGGGGTCTCTGAAGTCAGACACCCCTGGGCTCTCATCCTGGCTCTTCACACCTCTCTACCTCTGTGTCTGGTAAATGATGTAACCTCTTAGAGCCTCCGTTTCTTCATCCATGAAAGTGGGTGTTTAGGACCTACATCGTGGCATGTTGTGAGGATTAAATGAGACATCCTATGTCAGGGCTCCCCACAGAGCCTGCTTCAGCGTGGGGTGGACAGCTCTTACTAGGAAGACACCTAACTTGATAGTCACAGGTGACTCACTGGGCTGTTGTGGCCCATGAGATCAGGACCCCAGGATAATGACCTGCACCCAGGCACTGCATGCTGACCCCTCTCCCTCGGGCACTTGGCCGATGCAACTCCACACCGTCTGCTAAGACCCCGTGCTCCGTGGACATGGGGAAGAAGACAGGAAAGAGCAGTCACTGAAGACGGATTCCTTGCCAGCCATATGCCAGCTCCAGGATGTGACTGCCCTGAATCTTTCCACAGTGTCATAGGCAGGAAGCACCATGTTCATTTCATAGGTGAGGATACTGAGGCTCAGGGCGTGAGGTGGCCTGCTCAACCTCCTGGAGCTTGTGAGCGAGCCCCTCAGCCCAGTCCACATGCTGCGCTCTCCCTGCCCCAGGGGCCGGTGGCGGCAGACGGAGCGCAGAAGGAGCCCTGGACCGGGAGCCGGGAGCCCCAAGTCCAGCCCCAAGTCTTGCCCCAAGTCACTTCTCTGCAGCCTCAGCGTCTCCATTTGCAAAATGATGGAGAAGTAGTTTGAAGGCCTGTGAGCTCCTGCCATCAGGTTCGGACTTGGACGGGCCTTTGGAGGGCAGGAGGGACCGCCCCTGTGAGATGCTGAGAGAGTCTGCAGAAGGCGGGGGGCCCCCTCCTCGGCCCACCCAGGCAAAGCCGAGTCCCCAGGGTCGGATCTGGCTTCAGCTGGCTCTGACTGTTTGGCAATTAAGGGGCATAATAAACATAGCAGCTCATAAACGGGCTACCTGTATTTATTATGCATCACGTTCATTAGAGATTACATCTAATGGGCAGCTTGTGCAGTGCTGGGCTCCCAGACGAATGCAATAAAAGAGGGCGTGTCTCCTGGGAAGAGCCTCTGGCCAAGGTGAGGAAGGGAGAGATGATGTGAGCTGGAGGGCGGATGGAGGCAGGGGGCCTGGGCCCAGCTCCAGGGAAGGGAACCGAGTGGACAGAGGGCTTGGGAGCCTGACGGAGGACCACACCCCAGCTCAGCAGGACCACACCCCAGCTCAGCAGGCTCAGCTGGTAGCCTCGAGCAAGTTCTTGTACTGTGTGCATCTGAGTTTCCTCGCCTTCAAAATTAGTATAAAAATAATGCCTTCCTCATAATGGATGGGAAATACAGAGCACAGAGCTTGGTGCAAGGTAGATGGTAACAGCAACAGTGAGTAACATCCGGCTCCCCTTGAGTCTTACTATGTGCCAAGGAACATGCACAACCTCATTTAGTCTTCCTGAAGCTCCTGGAGGTAGGTAATGTCATTGCCCTTGTTTCAGGTGAGGGAATTAAGCCTCGGAGGAATCACTTGTCTAAGGTCACACAGCATGGAAATGCCCGAGCCAGGATTTGAACCCAGGTCTGTCTTAATCTAGAACCACAACTCTTTATTTTTTTTTAATTAAAAGTTAATTTTTATTTATTTGGCTCTAGTTGCAGCATGTGGCATCTTTTATTCGCGGCATGCAGACCCTCAGTACAACTACCACGTACATATGAGGCCGCAGTAGAAAGAAACATACTTGGTAAATGATGACTTGGTAAAGGCAGTGCTGTTTGGCCAAAAAAGTCCTTTAAATCTTGGGGCTTAAAAAGATGAAATGCAAGAGTCAGTATCACAGGCAAAGTTGACCTTGTGTGTGCATGGTCAGCTGTTCAGTCGTGTCCAACTCTTCACAACACCATGGACTGTAGCCCACCAGGCTCCTCTGTCCCTGGGACTGTAGCCCACCAAGCTCCACCGTCCCTGGGATTCTCCAGGCAAGAATACTGGAGCGGGTTGCCATTTCCTTCTCCAGTCTCCTGAATTGGTCTCCTGCATTGGTAGGCAGATTCTTTTCCACTGCACCACTCATGAACTCAAATCTCACAGGTGCTGGGAAGGCAGTTGAGGTTTGTGGATCCGGCTGCCCTTCCACGCGGCCACCCGCCCCAGGGTGAGCCTGAGTGGGAGCTGTGGACTAGTGGCCATGGCTCTCATAGTCTCAAGTCTCGTGTGCCTGTCACAGCGCCCCCTGCTCCCGGACACTGAGGCTTCCCTGCTCACAGATGGGTGTTTTATGATTCATTGTGACCCTGGATGCAACGGGCTGTTTCATGTATAACAAAGCCAAAGGTGTTTATGGACTTGAAGGGGAACTATAATGTGACACTTCTGTCTGTGTAATAACTGATTTAGAGTCCAGTCTTTGTATAACTTATGTCACCGTGGAAATGGAAAAACAGGTTTCAAAAGGGAAAGGAGGTGTAGCTAAGTTACAAAGTCAATTAGTGAGGGATCTGGGCCTGGGGAGACCTGTTTCTTAAAGCCTAGGCCAGTGCCCTGCGGCTAGTCTCAATATTTTACTTATTTCTTTTGGTAGCACACACCTTCCCCTGTTAGAATGCATGCTGAGAAAGGCGTGGACTTGTTTTGCTCACTGCCATGTTCCTAGTGTCCAGAGCAGTGCCTGGCACTGTGGGTCCTCAGTTTCTCTGTCTGGATGAAAGAATGAATGGAGAGCGGGAAAAGAGAAGACGGACACAGAGAACAATAGAGACTCAGTAAATCAGAGAGAGAGGCAAAGTCAGAAAGAGAGGGGAAGATGGAGAAAGACATGGTGAGATTCGGGGGACGAGAGATGGCAGGGGGGGCATCTGGGAAAGGACAGGCTGAGATCTTCTGGGGAGACGGGGTGGAGTCGGGGATTCGGCAGGTACAGGGAGGGGGTGAGGGGAGACGGGGTGGAGTTGGGGATACGGCAGGTGCAGGGAGGGGGCGCGGCAAGCAATTACTGACTTTTCTCCTGGACAGGTCTTCTGACGTCAGCAGGGCAGCGTCTCCTGGTCAGTCTCCCTTATTGGGCCAGCTTGTCCTGTAAGAGAAAATACTCAATTACTCTAGAAAAAAGGAGCAGCCACATTCGGGAAGCTGCATGTGAACACCTGCCCGCCCTTCGGACACACACTCAGGGCCTTGCTGATCTGGGCCCCTTAGCGCTGATGAAAAGCTCTCGGCACCTGGGGCACTCCAGCTGGGGAGGCCCGCACGCCGCACCTGCCCTTTGCCTGCATGGCAGCTGCTGGCTGCCCTCGCTGGGGCTGCGTGGGGAACCTCACCTCCAAGAGACTCGCGGTTTCTGGCACGGGCTTCATCCCTGCGGACACACTGCTGCATGCGGCTGATGAACCGGGAGGAGGCGTGGGGGCCCGTACCCTGGGATGCCACCTGGCTGCTCCCTGGGCGTCTGCAGTGATGCCCCAGCAGAGAGAGAGAGCCGGCTGGGCCCTGGAAATCAGACAGCCTCCCCAGAAACCCTGACTCCCAGGGGGAGAGAAATCTGACGCTGGAAAGGGTTCCTTAGCAAATCCTGCCTAAGGATTTGCCAGAGGCTCTTTTAGTGAGCCAGCTCCCAGCCGTGGAAATGAGGGTGTGGTTTCAGCAGTTGCGGGTGCCCATATGGAGACGCCTGGCCGATCACACGAGTGGGGAATTCCGCAGCTGCTCCTGCTCAAACATGGGCTGGAAGACACCACCAGGGAAAACCGAGGCCAGGGCAGGGGCTGTACGGGCATCCCCATGGGCAGGATGCGGGGATGTCTGGGCCTCAGGTACCAGTTCAGATTCCTTTCCCATCTCATCAGTGGTGGGGGGGGGGTTGGGCTGTAGACAGAAGATTCCTCTCTGTCCAGCCATCCATCCATCCGTATATTAGGTTGGCCATAAGATGTTATGGAAAAACCTGGATGAACTTTCTGGCCAACACAATACATCCCTCCCTCTCTCCTTCCATTTATCCCTCCATCCATCCACCATCCATCTACTCTGCACTGGGTGCTGTGTTAGGGAATAGAGATGCAAATAAGCATGAACTCACACTTGGGTGTGGTCGGGGTCGGAGATTGGAGGGGGCAAGGGAAGGGATGTCAGTAGGGCTGAGGACCACAGGAAAGGGGACAAACTCTCCCCTGGAGTATCTCCACTGGGGGCAGTTGGGGAGCTTTCAGTTGGGAAGGGGGTGGTGCAGGGGAGTAAGTTTGGAGGGAGTGTAGAGGTGGGGATGGGCAGATGGGAAGGAAGGCAGAAGGGGCCTCCCTCCTGCGAGCTCTTGGAGGCCCTGGAGGCTGGTACTCTGCCCTAAACATAAACACGTGGAAAGTTCTTCAGCCACTTGCCTTGGTATCTGCTGCATGGCTTTGGGCTACACACTTACATGCATGAGCTCACTAGATGCCAAGAACAAGCCTAGGAAGTAGACATACCATCACCCTCATTTTACAATGGAAACTGAGATCTGGAGAAGGAAGCGACTTGTCCAGCATCACACAGCCAGCAAGTTATGGACCAGAAATCCACACCCAGGAGTCAGAATCAAAACTAGCCTTCGTGGAAAGGGCTGTGCATCCACCCATGTAATTATGGTGAATCCTCATGACGGCCTTGGAAGGTGGACTATTGTCCCATTTTATAGAAGGAAGCTGAGCCTTAGAAATTTAAGTGGCAAAGCTGAGTATCCTCCTGAGATTTCTAGGCTCTTTCTCCTAGAAACTTCAGGCAAGATGGTAGAATGGCTGTGTTGGGGGCAGGAGTGGGGAAGAGGCTAGAAGCCCAGTCCCATCTGAACAGTGAGGGATCCCCTGAAACTGGCCTTGGGGGGTGTGGGGAAGGGAGGACACTGTCTCTACCAGGTAGGACTCTGCTACCCAGGTGGACATCTGCGGTGAAAAACCCGCAGGTCTAGGCAAGGGCCAAGGACATTTGGGCTGGAACTGTCCAAGGGTGGCTTCCTGGGCAAGATGAAGCCAACTTCAGTTCCTTCTTAAAACTCAGGTTTCTGCAGCCTTTGGAAGGGGAGCTCGAGCGTCTAGTTCAGGGACTACATCCCATGCCTGACCCCAGGGTTCAGGGAAGCAGGAGGGGGTCATAGTTTTCTCTTATCCTTGTCCTTCCCCTGTCCCATCCTAGCTTGTGTGCCAATATTGCCATTCTCTGCCCAGCATCTCAGGCTGGTGGTTGTCCTGGGTGTGATGTGACCCACCTTCCTCTGGACACTGAGGCTGGGATGAAGGGCTGGGTGATGCAGAAGCACCCCCACCCCAGGGGCAGGGAGGAGGTGCTGAACTCCATGTGAATCTCTAACATATCCTGCCCTCCTCTTTGCCAGGATGCCCCCTCCCCAACTGTTTTTTGACACTGCGGAGATCTGCCCTAAGGGGAAGCTGGGAAAGGATGGCCTGGGAGATGCCCGCCATGCTCAGCCATCACCACTGCCTCTGTACAGCCTGGGACGGCCCCTGCCTCGGCCAGCTCCCTGGAGGCCTTCGGAAAGTCACAGCCCTCCCTGAGATGCTAGGTTCTCCTCTGAAAACTGTGATCCTCAACTTTGAAGGTGGTTGTAAGAATTCGTGCAGTGAGGCACATGAAATGAAGTGATATGATGTGAAAGCACTTGGAAAACTTCAAAGCACTGCTCCCATGAGGAGTTATTATTATCAGCATCCTCATATATTGAAAATAGGTGGATGCCCAGACCATGTTCACCAGTTATCAATGGAGGTGGGTGTGGGGCAGACCACGGACATCTGGCTTGGTCAGGAGGGACATATATATATGTGTGTGTGTGTGTGTGTGTGTGTGTGTGTGTGTATATATCTATCTATATATCTATCTTTCCTCTTAGTGGCCCCAAAGTCAAATTAGTTGCTCCAACTTTGTGATAACTGAACCTCATAATAACTGGTGGTATTGAGCATTTACCATGTATCAGACTCTGCTAAGCATTTCTCCCACATTCTTTTATTTAATCTTCACCTAGGAGGTGGGTATCATTGTTAACTCATTTACCAGATGAGGAAACTGAGGTTCAGAGAATATAATTAACTGGCCTGGATCTTAATCACATGTTTAGTAAGACTTGGCCATGAATCAAGCCTAAGTCTGCTAGACTCCAAACCAGAACTTCTGATAAGGTCCATGGACATGGCTTGCCAGAAAGAAGGAGCGCCATGCCTCCGTCTCCAAAGTTTCTAACCCAGTGCTGTCAGCCCAGAGTCAGGCAACCAGGCGAGCGCGTCCCAGGGACCGGCTAGCATCCTCCCCCGTGCCAGCTGCAGGCCTCTGGGGGATGACCCCATCCTGCCATCCTGTGACAGATGGGAGCCCCGAGGCCCAGAGAGGGGCAGACATGGGGAGAGGTCACACGGCCCTGCCGGGTTCTCCTCTGCAGGCGCCAGCCTGGGCCAGACAGTTTTATTCATCTTGCCTCTCCCACTGCCCCCAGATGGCCACTCAGTTCCATCTGCACAGAGCAGGCCCAGGAGCGGGTCTTTGATGAAGAAGAGCAGCTCAGTTCATAAATCACTCCTTTTACTTTCACCGCCTCTAGCCCCCACCCCGGGCATGCTTTCTGGAGAGAGAGAAAAGAAAGCACGTGGACAGACAGGGCAAAACCCCCATTGGAGGAAGCAAAGGTAGACCTGCTTTGGGCTGGTGGGAGCCAAGAAATGTCTTGCATTCGCTCCTACCAGGCGAGGGCCCTGTGGTGCAGGGCAGAGCCTCTGGGGGTCCCAGGGGTTCAGCCTCACCTGGGTCTCAGCCAGCGCCCTTGCCGCCAACAAGCTGGGAGGCCTGGGCCAGCCTCCTCATCACCTGAGCCTGCATGGCTTCCCCTCTGAGATGGGCATTCTCACATCTAACTCCCAGGGTCAGTGCGTGGATTCAAAGAGGTAGTGTCGGTAAAAGCACTTTAGTGTTCCTTCCTTCCTGGGTGTTTATGCCAGCACCGGGCTGGGTTCAAGGCACGGAGGCCAGCGGCTTCCCTCCCTCACGGACTCCAGTCCACTGAGGATTCATAACCTGGTACTCAGAATTGTTAACAGCCACATTGACCCGGAGCCGGGCAGGAAGGGAAATGAGCACTGACCGCCTTAGGGGGTGACAGGGGGTGCGACAGGGGCAGCCTAGAAGCCTGGGGGGCCTGTGTGAGGGGAGGACACACATTTTTGTTGGCAGGGACCAGCATTTTTGAGCCTCAGTGATGCTGCAGGGCATTGCGTTCTGGGCATTTTCCTATAATGACCTTACTTGATTCTCCAAAGAGATCTGCAAATTAGATGAATTGCAATCGTTCCCTTTCACAGAAGAGGAAACTAAGGCCCCAAGGGGCTCGAAAAGCCCTTAGAGCCAGAACTGACCCCAATCTGCCTGACCCTAGGACCCCTGTGTTCCTTCTTCAGGACAAAGGACTGAAGCTTAGAAAAAACAAACAAAAAAAGCAAGACAGTATTTCCCTGGCAGTCCAATGGTTAAGACTCCGCCCTTCGGGCCACGGGTTTAATCCCCGGTTAGGGAACAAGAGACCATGTGCTGAGCGGTCTGGCCAAAAAAGAAAAAAAGAAGTAAGGGCCTGGGGCTGAGACTTGCGGGAACAGCGACGATGCTTGTCGTCAGGTTCCAAGCCGAGGGGGGAGGAACTTATCTGCTCGCTGGCAGTGCTTGCTGAGATTCATCTCAAGACAGACGGTCTCATAAACAAGCAATTGGCCCCCAATCCTGGCGTGCCTGATGAATGGCACAGACGTGGGGACATGGACACAGCTGATGGGGGATAACATCTAATTAGGCTCCTGGAGGCAGAGCCTGTGGTGAGGATTCAAAGAGGTAGTGTCGGTAAAAGCACTTTAGCGTTCCTTCCTTCCTGGGTGTTTATGCCAGCACCGGGCTGGGTTCAAGGCACGGAGGCCAGCGGCTTCCCTCCCTCACGGACTCCAGTCCACTGAGGATTCATAACCTGGTACTCAGAATTGTTAACAGCCACATTGACCCGGAGCCGGGCAGGAAGGGAAATGAGCACTGACCGCCTTAGGGGGTGACAGG